ATCGATATGCCCCTGCTATGGCATCGTCACGACCAAAACAGCTCACATACAGCTTCATAATCGGTTATAACGATCTGTTGCCACTGTTCCCGTCTCCTTCAATGCGATTAGAGATGCCTCCCAGCACGGAATAGCAAGGAAGCAACGACAAAGTGAGGAGATACAGGCAAATGCGTTTCTCTGTCCGCTGCTGCCTGCGATATCAGGCAACTGCAGCCGTGCTCCAGCCTGAACGCTCAAGTGAGAACAACCGGTTTGCAGCTTGTGGGTAACATGTCATCAAGGGGCAACAATGCCTGAAGGCCGAAGGCTCACTTTGACCCAGCACCAAGTTCGGAGAACACCACCACGAGTTGCAGATAAGCCGGATAGACAAAGGAAATCGCGCGCATAGACACAGTTTCGCCTCTTTCCTGTAGTCCTGAACTCACGGCGCTCGAAATTCAGAAGAAAAGCTCAAGGCCCCTGCATACAAAGAGGAACATCCTAGATACCACAGTCTACCGCATACATGTGAGGATCATGACTGTTCGGGCTCCTTTTGACCGTCCGACGTCTGCCCGGAGGAAGAGGGGACATCGCTACAAGACGAAAAGAATTCTTCGTCATCCTGAATCCAGAGTTTCCACATGGGGTTCGCCAGTTGGCTGTCTTTGTACGCGTGGGTAATAATGTCCCTCTTCAGCTCAATTACTTCATCAAGTTCCGGGCGTCGCCCTTCCTTATATATTTCCAACGCAAAACTGAGTCGATTAACTCGCCTGTTCAGCATTCTTGACTTTGGGGACGGCACGTATTCAGGAAAGATGTAGTCCGTTTGGAACTGCTGTACAAACCCAGGCCACCATCTGTCGGCATCCATCTTGTCGCCTAGAAGCTCAATTGTACAAACCAGGTGGTCAAATACCATAAACAAAGACGAAAGTTTCCTAACCAGGGTGCAAGCTTTGAATCTCCTATCTGGTCGTGAGAGTTTGTGTGTCGCGTAGTTTACCAATATATCCGCTTTCACCATGAGCGTATCCACATCTTCACGAGTCAGCGAAGGCTTGGCAAACAAACTGCGCATTGTCATGTATGCATCCATTGGGCTATCCAAAAGCATAT